GGCAAGTCTTGCATACCCTCCAAGTCTGAGTGTTGGGAACAAGGGCAGCGGCAATTGGCTCCTCTTTCCACCTCCTTCTCTCATTTTTATTATACATTTTTATTGGGTTTTTTAAACATATCATTTCCAACAATCATTTAACATAACTTCTTATCTTATACAATATTTTTGACTTACGTCAACATCTGAAGATTTTCCGTTCTTTATCACTTGTTCTGCATTTCTTAATTTCTCTATTACTTTTAATTATCCTTAACTAATAATTCTCATCATAGTCTTTCTTGCAATATTTCAAATAGTCCTCCTTACAGAACTTCTTGCAGTCCTACTAGCGTAATCTGATTATTACAATTGCTTTTCAAATAGTTCAAATATTTACTCCAGTCTTCTAAGAATCTCTGATCCCACAGATTTCAAATCCTTCCAGTTAATTTATCTAATTCTGCATTGTCCACTTCCCACATCCTTCTCGCCAGCTTTCCAGCAGCATTTTTTGAAGCCCTGCTAAATGGACAGTTTGGTCTATCCAGCTCAGCAATGCTAATGAATTAAAGCTAACCCCTTACCCTGTTCGCCACTTCTGTTACAATTGCAGTCCATGCATTTAGAAGCAGTTTGGGTCATGATGCCACCACCTGAAATTAGATCCGCATTTTGGGAATGAGAAACAGGATCTGGGTGTCTCCTCAGCAGAGCTGCTGCTCACATAACCCTTTCAGAGCTGGTTTCTGCTCCAGTTGTAATTGCTCTTGGCACCAGTGCTATTTTCTTCTCCAGAGTGGCTGCCAGCTGGAGAGAGTCCCAGTCAAGGAGCCAGGATCAGGCTCCCTCCTTAGCAAACTTTGATCCGTATCAAAAAAACCAACAACCCTAACTTTGATCCATACCCACAGTCATAACTCCAGCAGGAATGCACTAGGGGTTAGTTGAGGTGACGGGAGCAAGTGAGTTTCTCTCTCTCTCTCTCTCTCTCTCTCTCTCTCTCTCTCACGTCCAAACAGCAGAGTGAAGCTCAGGTGATAAAGATGACTAAAGCAGTGAATGTGTGTCTGTGACAAAGATGTTTGTGCAGTTTGGACTCAGAACCTACTTGCTATCCTTCCCGCTGCTAAGCAAATCAGTCCCTTAAGCCAAGAAATTGTATTCTCTATGAAATTGAATATCAATATACGTATCAAGGCTTTGAGATTAGACCACTGAAGAAGCCCGGAAAACCACCTTGGGAGTGTGCTACCTGCAAGCCCCAGTAAAAGGGCCCCATCGGGGGCGAACAGCGGCCTCTTGATTACTTGGACTGCCAGGGCGAAACAGGTGCAAAACGCCGGCACCCTGTCTACAACTTCATTAACATCCATCTACAACTTGTCAGCGGTTCGAATCCCCGTGACGGGGTGAGCTCCCGTTGCTCAGTCCCTACTCCTGCCAACCTAGCAGTTCGAAAGCACGTCAAAGTGCAAGAAGATAAATAGGTACCGCTCTGGCGGGAAGGTAAACGGTGTTTCCGTGCGCTGCTCTGGTTCGCCAGAAGCGGCTTAGTCATGCTGGCCACATGACCCGGAAGCTGTACGCCGGCTCCCTCGGCCAATAAAGCGAGATGAGTGCCGCAACCCCAGAGTCAGTCACGACTGGACCTAATGGTCAGGGGTCCCTTTACCTTTACAACTTCACTAGCATCTCTCGGTATTGTGAACAACACCGGACTTACCTTTTGTTGGTATCACTTTGAGAAGCCAAGTTACAGGGAACCAGGCAGAGGGCCTTCTCGGTAGTGGTGCCTGCCCTGTGAAACGCCCTCCCACCAGATGTCAAAGAGAAGAACAACTACCAGACTTTTAGAAGACATCTGAAGGCAGCCCTATTTAGGGAAGCTTTTAATGTTTAACAGACCACTGTATTTTAATACTTTGTTGGAAGCCACCCAGGGTGGCTGGGGAGACCCAGTCAGATGGGCAGGGTATAAATATAATTATTATTATTATTATTATTATTATTATTATTATTATTATTATTTTTCTTCATGAACTTACCTAAAAAGATAAATAAAACAAAAGACGTGAGTTAAGCATTTAAAAAATCTATTGAAATCAGACATTGTAAGTTCATCTTAGACTGGGCAGTTTGCAAGTTTCTGTGGCTTTGCACAAGGTTTTGTATTTTTCTCAGAAGATTGATAAAGAATGTGTAATTATTTTGGTAATTATTGTGTGTATATTAGTTGCCAATGTGTTGCAAGAGTCGTACTACATCCTTCCCACTGCAGTATTTTGGTTAGCCACTGTGAGAACAGGATACTGCCCTTAGAGGGCAATCATTCTCCTGATCCTGCAGGCTCTCCTTAGGA